GGCCCCCGGGGGCCGGCGGGGCCGGCGGCCGGGCCGGCATCGTCGCGGCGTCCCTCCGCTAGTGGAGGAGACCAAGCCAATTCTCCTTTGCAGCAAAAAATTACGTGTATATATTATTATAATATATACATCTGATTTTATTTTTTTAAAAAGTTTATTTTGCTCCATTTTTGAGAAAGACGGAGCGTGGGTGGCGAGTGTTTTTTTTTTTTAAATTTTTTATAAATTATCCTTATTTTCTGTTATTTGTCCCCGTCCCTCCCCACCCCCTGCTGAAGCGAGAATAAGGGCAGGGACCGTGGCTCCTACCTTTTGGTAACCCCCTTACCCATTCCTCCCCCGTCCCAACGCCCAGCACAGTGCCCTGCACACAGTAGGCGCTCAATAAATGTTCGTGGATGATGATGATGATGATGATGAAAAAAATGCAGCATCAACGGCAGCAGCAAGCGGACCACGCGAACGGTGAGCAGCCAGAGACCGGGCACCCGCTGCCAAATCTCATCCTTGTCATGGTCCTCCTCTTCCCACCCCCTCTTCCTTCTCCCCCCCACCCCCCATCTCCGATGCGCTGGGTGTGTTGAGGGGGTTGGCGAGGATGCTTCTAGCTCGGTCTCATCTACACAGAGCCGGGAGATGCGTGACAGCCACTCGGTTCTCCCCTTCAGGCCCTGAATGTCAGAGTTAATTCTGCATTTGTGGGGTGGGGGCGGCCGTGAGTATGTAGAGTACTGTGCAGCCGGAGGGGCAGCGAGTCGAGGTGATTCGGGTTCAGTGTCCTCAGGCTCAACTTTCCTCCAGTGTCCCCGAGCGATGGAAGGGGGGCTGTTAGTTTTCAGCCTGAGCCCCCTTTCCAGCCTCTTGTCGCCTTTCCCTCCTCCCACGCCCCTGGTTTACTAGGAATAAGGTCCCTGGTGGCATTCGTAAAATTCTAGGATTGCCCGGTTTTACCCTTCGCGCCGGTGGGTGAAGCACACCCCTCCCGTCGCGGGGGAGGCCCGGGCTCGGCATCTGGGGGAAGGGGTCGGGTGGAGCGTGTATTCCTGCTCCCAGCGCCGGCTGTGCACACGTCGGTAACCTAGCAATGCCCGGGGAGTCGCTGCCGCTGTGGGGCTCCCCTCCCCAGCCCCGGCCCGGGCACCACGTGCAGTTTCCACGCCGTCCGGGGCTGGGTCGAGGGAGGCTGGAGCAGCTCCTGGCTAGCCAGGCTCTCTTTGGAGATTGCCGGTGCCCCCCCAACCCCGGTTGGCTCGAAGCCTTTCCGGGTAAGCGCTCTCCAAGGGAAAGGCTTGGCACGACTAATCCCCGGACTCCGGGCTCCGATTGACTGCTGCCAGCCCGCTCTGCCCCCTTCTCAGGCTTACTGGGCAGGCAGACATGTGCTTGCGTTGACTCTTTACTTAGCAATAATTGGTTTTGCAAACGCCCATTTCTCTACCTCTCTGCCACTTCTCTCGCTTTGATTTCTGCCTCAGTGAAGAGGCTGTGGCCGAAGGCTTGTAGGTGCCCGGGAGACCTGCCCGGTGGTGGCCTGACCCAAAGCTGATGGGGGCTTGGCACACGAGGCCCTCTCAGGTTTCTGCCTTGTGTGCACCTGGATGCCAGCCTGCACCAAGGTGATTCCTGCTTAGGCCATGAGGGCCCCTGGCTTAATCCAGCCTGTCTGTCCTAGGTGTAGGGGTGCAGGCTGACTGCCTTGTCTTTCTGGATGCTGCCTTGGCTGATGCTGCTGCAATTTAAAATGCAAAAAAGCCCTAAAGATGTTTTCTGTTTTCAGAAGCCTGTGGAGGAAATGAGTCCCTAGCATCATGAATTTTCATTTGCAGGAAGTGTCAGTGCATAATCTCGATATTTGTTATGGGGCTTTTGGTATTGCCTGGGTGCCAGTGGAGGATTTTTTTTCCATGCTAAAAAATTGCATTTGTGGCAGTGGAAAGATGTTGGAGTAACACCCTGAAAATGATTAAGACTATTGAATTATTGGCACTGCCTTTTTTTTTTTTTTTTTTTTTTTTTTTTTTTTTTTTTTTTTTTTGGTGATCGTGGTAGTTGTTTTAGAGAAAAGCTGTTGTATGTATCTCATTAGAGATAACGGATTTTAAAAGTCAGAAAAGATGTGGAATAGATGTACGAATAACCTCAGTTTGTCAGAAGGAATGAAATGCACTGAAAGACTCCTAGTGAAGACATGGATGTGGAGTACTAACCTGGTTGGTGATGCAGCAATGATCCTGTGTGATTGACAGACCAGAGCTCCTGGGCTTTTCTTGCTCTGGCTGACCAAACTCCTGCTTCTGAAAAATAGGATATGAGGTTAAAATGGAAACATAGGAGTGATTCCCATTGTTATTGATTGGAGACAACCTTTGCTTTCCCTCCCCCTGCCCCATACACTGGATTCTCATTTTTTTTTTTTAATCTTTCTTTTTCTCTTTCTCCCCAGAGGCAAACTATGCAAGAGGCACCAGATTCCCTCTTTCTGGTGAAGGACCAACTTCTCAGCCGAATAGCTCCAAGCAAACTGTCCTGTCTTGGCAAGCTGCAATCGATGCTGCTAGACAAGCCAAGGCTGCCCAAACTATGAGCACCTCTGCGCCCCTACCTGTAGGATCTCTCTCCCAAAGAAAACGTCAGCAATACGCCAAGAGCAAAAAACAGGGTAACTCGTCCAACAGCCGACCTGCCCGCGCCCTTTTCTGTTTATCACTCAATAACCCCATCCGAAGAGCCTGCATTAGTATAGTGGAATGGAAGTATCCTTTTTTTGGGGGAAGTGTTTCTCATTTTCTCTTTTACCATCTGTTCTTTAAAAGGATTTGCTTTCTGGAATGACGCTTACAAAGCCGTAGCAGTTTGGGAATGTGAGCAACAGAAGAAGCTGTATAGAAGGGGTCTCATTGTATATACCTTCCTGTCTGCTTGGGTTGCCGAGCAGTGGCTCTGTGAATATAGTTAGCCTACGGTCTGGGGGTGTGTGAGTGGTGGAGGTGGGGAGTGGCAGCCTAAAACTTCAAAGTGGTTGATAATTAAGGTATGAAACTAACCTTTAGTCATTGGACACTAGAGGGTTAGTTTTAAATCCACTCTTGTTTTTGGGTAGTGGTATGCATTGAACTTATTGCAAATAAGTTATGCTGATTAAAAAAAAAAAAAAAACAGACTGTGTGAGACTCTACTGGAGGTGAATACATTTTGACCTTTAGTGGAATCTTCTCATTTCTGATGTTTGCAATTTGCTTCTGCAACTACGGTTAATGCTAAAGTTGCTTCTAGCCCTGACATTTGGTGATTCTAATTGTTCAAGTAGCTACAAATATGAACAGTTGCTTCACAGGGAGGGGACAACTTTTGATTTTTTTTTTTTGCTGATCAATGCTATGACTTTCTGGAATTTCCTTTTGTCAAGTTCGCAAAAAGCATTTGAAATGTGAGGGTGAGGGAGCCTGTGAAGGGAGAGTTTTGTTGTGCCTCTTTCCCTGAGCCCTTGTGAGTTATAGAACAGCCCTCTCAGTGGAGGAATTTGCAGTTGCTGCCTTTATAAAAAATTCTGTCTGTGTCCTTGGCCTGCAGTTACATTTCTGGGTGTCTCCCTTGTATTTTTAAAAATGAACTCCAAATGCCCCAGGATGGTTGTCATGTCCCAGATCTCAGAACACTATTGTGCTCTGCCTGCTATCCCCTTCCTCAAATCTACAGGCCAGGCCCCAGTTACTCCCATTCCTCAGGAAAGGTTGTCCGAGGCTTTCTTACTGAGCAAATGGCTTTTTAATTAGATGATTCATTTGGTCTGGTTAAAATAAAGCATATCCTTTCCCCAGAAGTGTGTTTGGGGTTGACAGGGGCCTTAGAGCAGTTCCTAACCGTAGGAAGGAGTTTGAATATAGGGCTTCCACCACCAGGCCCAGAAGGATGGAGGGGAGGATGTTGGTGGCCAGCTAGAAAGTGGAGCTGAAACCTCCTTATAATTTGAATACCCAGCTAGGCAGCTATTTGCATGCCTTCTGTCTTAGCTGGCTATTTTCCCTGCTCATGAACAGGAGTTAAAATGAGGTAACTGTCTAGAAAGGTTTTGGAGAGAGTAGCTAACTGCTAGGGCAGGATTCAAGGGGTTTCACGTGCTTTTTCATTTTAGAACAGATGTCTCTTCTCTAGAGTTGAGCTATGGTGTCTCTCACATAGCTGGGGTTGTTTGTGTGTATTTTCTTTTTAAGTTCTTCTCTAGTCTGAGAACAGAACACTTGTGTCAGGCCAGAAGGGAGCTAGGTAAATCAGGGTATGCCTCAGTGGCAGCACAAGTCATGAGCGGTGGCTGCACTTTGCCAGAAAGATCTCCTCTTCCTCAGGTTGACTTGACATGACTCTCAGTAAGCAGAGACCTCTTAAAGGGGTCATTAATTTGATGTGGAGTGAGGTGGGAGGCCCAATGCTGTTTCTTTTTGTGCACAGTAATTTGTACATAGCAATTTATGTTAGGGTTAGGGTTAGTGAGGTGGGAGGCCCAATGCTGTTTCTTTTTGTGCACAGTAATTTGTACATAGCAATTTATGTGTACAGAGTGAATTCCTGGATCACACTCCTGTCTCCCTTTCCTGAGTTGCCAGATGCATGTGTACAGGAATTAGGGGATGTGGCTGCCAATTCAGGGAGAAGCCTGCTTACAAATAGGACAGTTTGCAGAACAGATAGGTCCTTAAATGATATGTGATCCATTTGTTTGTTTTTCAAATGACAGTTTCCTTCTAATTCGGGGGGCAGGTTATAGAAATCCTTTCACAGACAGCTCTGTCAGGCCCAGGCAGCACTGGGAGAGTGAGAGTCTAGTTTGATTTTACAGACAGGCAAGGCACAGTGTCCTGCACCCTGGGGGAGCTAGGGTTTTCTCCTCATCTGAAGGAATTGTTAGGTCAGACCCATCTATTTCTCTATTGCTCTGTTCTGCTTCGCCTGTGAAAAACTTGTGGTAGTGAGATTGTATTTACCAATACCTGGAAACTGAAACTGGACCAACATAAAGAAAAAAACTTGGGGCTATTTCAAAAAGTTCATGGACAAGTGGAATTGAAAGATAATACAAATCTTTCCATGAACTTTTTGAAGACCCCTTGTACACCTTATGTTTAGCCTTCCTGAACAGTGTTACTGTTTTTCAGATTTGCTAGTTTATCATTTAGGTATTGGGAAATTGAAAAGGAAGAATTATGGTGTGGCGGAGGGGACAGACTAAGTGTGTTTCTGTAGAAAATAACACTGGGGCATTGACTTTTAAAATTTCAGCGGGGAGCTGCTAAGAAGAAAAATGAAAAAGATTCTGAAGTTTTCTTATGGTGAACTGTGTAAGAAAACATTGTGTAACATTGGATCCCTGGATAAAAGATTTTATAATTATAATACTAGAGGAGTTAAGAGAATCAATATGAATTAAAGCTAACTGGCTTAAAAACTAAACCCATCAAAATTAGTAAAGGAATAATATTATTCATGTCCTTATTTCAATAAGTTATTGAACTGCTGAGGTTTTATGAAACTCAAAGTATCTCCAGAGAGGTAAGGAGTATATTTGTTTCCTGCAGCAATTTTGGATTTCCCAGAAGGGCATCAGGATGAATGGAGAATAGTCTGTTTATATTTTTGAATCTTCAGTACCACGAGGTATTTAGTTAAACCGGTGGCATTGCCTCTACTGGGTGAATATATGGAGAAGCACTGTTGTAAAATCAAGCCCAGGAATTGTAGATTAGGTTGGTGCTCATGAAACCTCACATTTGGAAAGGCTGAAAACCGAAAGAAGAAAAACAGTCATTTTGGCAGATGTCAAATTTTGTATTGCCAGTTTTGGCAGTGTCTCTTAATAACAGCAGAATGTTTAAGTAAGTATCTGTTGAAGGCTGATCTCAAAGTGATTCTTCCAGACTGACCCCCAAGATTTAGAATTGTTTAAGCCTACCTTAAAAGTGTCTGGTGCTGATTTCTTGTGACTTTCCAATTTAATTTGTTTATAAATTGAACATGGTAACAGCACATTCTAAACTGAGCTCTAGTCCAGCTCTAATCTGAAACAGTTATAGTCATTGATTATTCTAGTAGAGAAAACAGAGGAGGGAGCTAGCAGAAGCCTGGCTAGCTTGTCACAGCGTGTGAGGTATCAAAACATGCATGAGAGAGTCACAGGTAGAATGCAGATGGTCTGAGAGACTTGGCCTGTCCTAGTCCAGACAGGAGATCTAGACTGACCCCACCAAGAACAGCCCCTGAGAAAATGGCTCTAACACATGGAGGCCAGGATCTGTGGAAGAGATTTATCCCATGATGACTTCTTTGTATCTATAACAGCCAGTAATTTAGTAAGGCTCTTGTCACTTTTAAAGCTACAAGAAGCAGAAACCTGGTTCACACAGTGCCTTAATTGGATATACATTCAGGTTTTAATAGACAAGGTAGAGCAGAAGAATGAGTAAAAAATGACCTTTACAGCAGAAGAAAAAGACATGGAGGAGTCATTTGATAGAAAAGTCTACTGTGAGGTGACCACTGACGATTCCTTCTGTTGAAAGCCTCGTAGCTACAGCAGTCAGCCGGAAAATGATGTGTGTATGTCATTTTCATTTTAAAAGTGATTCAGAAGTGATGTGATTGAGAGTGTGATGAGAGAGGTGGTTTATGTTTGTATAACACATATATACCTTAACAAAAATTTTCAGACCATTTGACATATTTATATTATTGGCTATTTTTGCCAATTGTGTGGCCTTAGCTATTTACATCCCATTCCCTGAAGATGATTCTAATTCAACAAATCATAACTTGGTAAGTGTCCTTAGAGTTCCTGCTTGTCCTGGTGTATGGTTATCATTTTGCCTGTATACTGAGGCTGGCAGCTGGCTTTCTGGGTGGTTGAAGTTTACAGCCATGCATGTCATATTTCCTGGAGCTTTGCAACAGTGGTTTTTTTTTTTGTTTGTTTGTTTGTTTTATTTTGTTTTTTCTTTGACCTGTATTCTTCAATTTATACTGAATGAAAGTGTTGAAAGTCATGAGTCTTGTACAAATAGATGAGGAACTTTTTATGGAAAAGATTTGTAGCAGATTTTAAAGTAACTTTTCTTTTCACATAGGTTTTAGCTTTCTATCATTGTTTTCTTGATAGTATTAGCTTTTTAAAAAAATCCAGTGTTATTTGGTAGTGGTGGGTACTTTGGTCAATTTTTCTGGTAAGTAGAGAATTATCATAGATTTTGTACATGAACTGTTAGTTTTAGAGAAGTAGAATACAACAAAACTAATAAAATACATAGAGCATAATCTGGAGAATTATATAGTATAGTATTGAAGTTCCTCCTCTTAAGTCCTATGAAATGCCCCAAGATAAAATGATTCTGTGGTTAAGTAAATGGGGATACTTCCATATCCTTTATTGTCCTCTTATAGATTTATAGTGTACATTGGCTTAGTAAAAGCTCTGGGAAGTTCTGCAGTTAAAAAATGGGTTTCATTTTGTTTAACTCAACTAGTCCCTCAAAGTAATTGGTCATGAATTCTTTAAACATTTTTTTGGCAGAAGACTTTAACATCATGGAAACAGTGTTCCATGGACCTTCCTTTGGGAAAGGTTGATATAGTTTAAAAAAACAAAAGGCAATAAAGAGCACCAGACTAGCTAGTCCCTCAAAGTAATTGGTCATGAATTCTTTAAACATTTTTTTGGCAGAAGACTTTAACATCATGGAAACAGTGTTCCATGGAACTTCCTTTGGGAAAGGTTGATATAGTTTAAAAAAACAAAAGGCAATAAAGAGCACCAGACTAGGACTAAGAGCTTGTCCCACTTGGCTGTCAACTAGTTGTATTTTGGGGCATTTCTTATACTCTTTCTGCATTGCCGTTCATCCACCTGGCAACGAAGGGGATAGGATAAGAAGATCACTAGGATTGTTTCTACCTCTGACATTCAGTAATCTTTCTTTGGTGATTCAGAAGCCATTTCAGAATTTTTCTGGTGCGGCAGCATCCTTCTTGCAAGGATTGGTCCTTTATAATCAGAAGTCATGCAGAACGGTGGGAGCCAATGCTGGATAACAGGCAACTCTATTGTCCTGCTTTCTCCTCTTTTAGTAGTTCTGTTTGTTTTTGGTTTTGCATGTTCAAGCTGTTTTGTAGCAGGGCTGGATGTTCATAACTGAGCGAGTGTTTTAAAGGCAGACTCACTAGGCTCTCCCTTGTGTGGGAGAGCTCTGCTGGCTTCTGAACATAGTGAAATTATGCTCTTGTGAGTAAGCCTTAAGGATTTATGTACAGGATATCATGTTTCATTTAAAATGTTATGGCATATTTCAGATGTAACATGATGTCTATTTGTATTTGGGCTTTGGTAGTTTGATTTCTAGGGAATTAAAAAAAATTGGATATTTCTGCTGAACATACACTTGTAAATGGATACACATGTAAACACTTACTGTTAGGATACATCTATACCTTGCTAGAGAGTTTATGTGTAACTTTGGTCATTTTAAGTAGCTTTTGATCTAGTTATAGACATGTGACATTAAATTATCATTTTCAAAGAAAAGCAGAAGTAGTGAAGAGCCTCCCATCAATGGAGATAGATCATCGTAGTCAGGGCCACAGATGGTGTTAGCCTTGTTACCAAATTTAACGACGTGGATGGTGACCCAGTTTGTTGCTTTTTGTAGCTCAAGAGAACATGATTAAACAAACTTAGAAAATAAATACCTTTTAGAAAGGCAGATTAATTTAGATCAATGGAATAATTAATGTAGCTGCATGTGTAAGCCAATTAATATTCTGATTTTTTTCCCAGGGAAATTCAGGGCACTGATGTAAGTGCTGTCAGACCATTTGGATTTCTCAGCTGAGAAGTGGGGGAATAAAGAACAGGAAATGGATAAATCTCTCTTCTTCCCCCTTGTAACCCCTCCCTAGTGGATCCATTCTTGACAATTCTTAACTACTGGACTTTTTTTTAGGGAGGGAGGTGGGTAGTGTGTTAATTTGAAAGGCCTTTCTAAAAACCAACATATATTCCTTTGACGTCTTAAGTATTCTGAAACTCATGTCTTTCATATTCCTGTCTTGCTTTCACTTGGATGGTTATGTGGCCAGATGGGTTCATACTCTGCCTGACTCCTTAAATGTTTCCTTTCCCACTGTGGGAAGAGAAGATTTTTGTGGATTTCCCCCTGACTCTTAGCAAGGTCCCATGCCATGTTGGTCCTCCCACCAGGAGCTGGGTTTTTTTTTTTTTTTTTTTTTTTTTATACATTTGACCCAATTTGTACCAAAGTGATTGCTCTATTTTTGGGATCGGTTTAGAGGCAGCTGAACGAAGCTTATTTTTCATCTGTAGTAAATACCTTTCATTTAATATGAATGGCAAAACAAAGGGCAAAGGCTGATAAGGGTTGCAAAACCATATGTATCAGGGAGCTGGTGGTTTTTTTGCCTGATAGCTCCATGGGAAATGTGTATGTTGAGCACTTAGAGTGAAGTTCAGGGCCAGCTTTAGGGATGATGTTTCTGCCTGTTACAGGTCATTTGTAGTGAAATTATTACATTTGTTGGATAAGAAACGTGGCTATTCCCATTGGTCCAATGTGTGTTTCGTCTGGGTTGTAAGTAACTCAGCCAGCTTTGGGGATTTGGAGACTACCTTGGGGGTAGCGAGTTTTCCCAGGGTTAGATTTTTTTTTTTTTTTCACATAAACAGTCTCAAGTTTCTATGCAGTTTTCATTTGTGGACTTTGCGGGGACTAGTGGAGGCTGAAGCCATGGAAACGGTGCAACTCAGTTCCCACAGTCATATTCCTCCTAGTTCAGTCAGTAGCAGTGTTTCCTCAGTTCCACTTACTGAAGGCATATTTTATTTATTTTATTTTCTTCTTAGCATGCAGAGGGGAGCTCTTCTGAATCAAGCGTCAGAGTGGGGATGATTACATTATTATGCTGCACTGTGATAAATAAATGCTTTATTTCATATTTTCAAACTTCAGCTTCTCACAAGCAGACTGACGTAGTTGAACAGTCTATAGTCTGTACAACCTGTTCCTGGTACTCTTCCACCCCCAGGCTACCTCCTAGTCCTCTGTCATGCTGAACTGCCTCAAGTTAGAAATGTCCGAAATAAGGATCATCTTCTCCCAGTTCAGACCTTCCTTGGTCTCTCCTAATGCCTGCACCGCCTCTAAACCAGCACTCAGTGACTGGAGGGACAGGCCCCTGGCTCATGCCTCTCTGTCCCTTTATCTAGCAAATTGCTTGGCTCCTACCAGGTTCTCAATAAATGTGTGTTAAACCGAACAAAAGAGTTTTACTAAGTCTTGACCCCTTTCTTGCCCCTTTTCTCATCTTCTTGTTGAGGCCTGTTTGTTTGGTTGTGATTTTGGCCCGTTGACATTTTGCCTCTGCAAAACCCCTCACGTGTTCTCCTTCCTCTCTATTCATACCTCAGATGGCTCCACCATCAGACGGCTTTTGTTAGAGAAGTGGCCCTGAGGCTTCAGTGGCTGTCCCTACCCACTGAGGAAAGGCCAGACCCCATGGCCAGGTCCAGCTTGGTGTGCTCCAACCTTTTTTGGTTTTCCCCCAACTTCTCTCCTTCATACCTCTCCCCCCCCCCCCATTCGTGCACCAAAAGTTCCTCACCAGCCCTCCCCTACTTGTCCACCCCCTGGCTTTTCCTCCACTGTTTTCTCCATTTGAAGCACATCCTCCTCCCTACTACGGCTGCTTCACATGTCACTGTCCTCTCAGCTACTCAAGAATAATCTCAAACTGTGTCTCTTCCATGAGCCGTTTTCTGACCTTAATCCGAAGGAACAGTCTTATCTGAACTTCTCTGTGGCACTTCACATATAAAATACCCTATATTTTAGTTATTTAAATGCACATCTTTATCTTACCAAGCATCTTCAGAATACAATTCATAGCAAACCATTTTTTTTTTTGGTCTTTTTTCATGTCCGGCAACGGATCGCAACCCTCAGTGTCACACCCGCACCTCGCTCAGCCAGTGAGCGGTGGCCAGTGGCTGGCCTATACTTCTTCCTGCTTGGGTGCCTTCCCCATTGGCCCTCCAATTTTGTTTTATTTTATTTATTTCCTCAGAATTTTGGGGGTATTTGGGTTTGAGAATAATCCTTTTTTGTCTCAATGCTCTGACTTCCAGACCCTCTGAGGTGGAGGTCCCACCTTTCAGATCCACAAAGGTGTTAGTGTCACCCACACTATGTAGCAGGGTGCTGACAACACCGTGAGTCTCTGTAGTGGCCCCACCCATGCCAACGTTCTCTTTGTGGCGGGGGTCATGCTTCTAGGGCTCTGTCAAGCAGTCCCACCCATAGCTCTGCTGGGCCGTAAGCACTTCCTTTTGAAATTGAGGTGGAGGCACACCTTCCCCTTAGTCCCAGGCACTCTGGGCCTATGGTGGGAGCCAAGTAATCTCTGAATCACCCTCAGGTCCTTCTTTACTTGTGCTTCAGAATAGTGCCTGTTCACAGCTAAATGGTTCAATGATTCAGTCCAATAAGGTCTAAGAAAGTTTAGCAGTATTTCTTTATTTTGTCCCATTTTCTGTTGCCTTTAGTCCCAGCTGGCAGTTTCCGCTGCCATAATTCCATCTGAATTCCTGGCATTTTTTTTCCTTTTTGTCTTTTTTTTACTGACCGGTAACGGGATCGCAACCCTCGGTGTTGCGCCCGCACCGCGCTCAGCCAGTGAGCGGGAACCGGTCTCCACATGGGATCCAAACCCTCGGCGGGAGCTCTGCCGCACTCCCAAGCAGCGCACTCTCC